AATCACGACAGGCAAATTAATTTAAGGCCATGTGAAATATCTATCACCTGTTAAAATTATAAAATTAATAGTTAAAATAAAATTTATATGACCTATAAATTATTTTTCAAACAGACGTACCAAAATCGCCTAATCCAGGTATAATAAACTTTTTCTCATTTAATCCTTCATCAATGAATGCAGTTATAATCTTGAGTTGTGAAAACCTTGAAGTGACGGCTTGAATACCCTCAGGTGCTGCAATTAAATTCAAAAACAATATTTTGTCTTCTTTAACACCATAAGACAACAATACTTCTATAGCTTTAATTGCTGATCCACCAGTCGCTTTATGAAATTAAAAATGTATAATAAATAAATTTCTTTTTAACTTTAATCAAAATTAAATATTTTGATTAAGAATACTTACCAAGCATTGGATCTAACAACAAGACGTATCTATTCTCTATACCTGGAGGTAATTTTGCATAATAAAGCTAATGTAAAAATAATAGTATATAGAGAATTGTTATTATTTGATATATATTATATAAAAAAAGATAAGGAATCGTTGTTACCTTAGGTTGGGCAGTTTCTTCATCACGCTGGATCAAAATCTTTCCGATTCGTACGCTCCTAAGACATTAATATCATACAAAAAGTCAGTAATACTTTTTATCGAATAATCGACTATTACGATTTATCGAATAATCGATTATTCCGATTTATCGAATAATCGACTATTCCGATTTATCGAATAATCAATTATTCCGATTTATCGAATAATCGACTATTGATTTATCGAATAATCGACTATTACGATTAATCCAGATTAACAAACCTGCAACATTCACGCAGCCCTTGCTCCATTGCTTCTCCTGCTCTCATAATAGACACACCACATATTTTACCCTTGAAGGAAACGCCATTAAATTCACTTCCTAATTTGATCATCAAAATTATAACATATTTTAGATCCACAAGTTAATTTGTAATATTTTGACAAAAAATTACTTTATAATATTGATATACCTGTTGGTGTAATGACTTTCTTTTCAATAACGGGTAAATGGTTTAGCCCTATATGTCAATAAAAACATATCGTGTTAGAAATAATAAAATAAAGTTTAAAAAAAAAATAATTAATTAGCTCTAAACCTTCTTCGACAAGGAGCCTAATTATTCTATCAGAATAAAAAATAAAGTCTCCACGATTAGTATCTTTATCTCGGATTATTGTCAATAAAGCCTCGAGTTGGTTTGTTCGCGGAAGACATACTACGTTCGAAGGAGGTGAATACGCAT